AAATTTCTGGATTAGCATCCTAATTAGATTAGGACCTCGGTTTTAATTGGATTAAAATCGTATTATTGCTAATTTATGACTACGAACCCAGATTTTGACTCAAAAATAGTGAATTTTGGGTGGAATCGATGGTCGAATTCAACCTTTACCCACAAAGTAGTTAAAAATGGCTTCCAGAGGCCAAAATCTGCCCAGAAAGTGGTTTTGGAGGGTTTTTCTCGTTTAGAACAAATTTTTTTAAATCTTTAACCCTTGATTAATTATGGCATGCAATTGTTGGATTATGTGTTTGATTACACCATTAATCTTCTGCAATTTTACTAATTAAGCATGTTTATAATGTAAATTGTTTGCTTAATTTGGAGAGCTCTTAATTTCACATAAATTAGGAATTTCACATTCTTGCAAATAAATTGCCTGTAGTGTGAAAAGTTTATGGTGAATATGATTTTAAAAGCCCTTAAAATGCCAAAGATTCTATCTTTAATGGTTTAAATGATTGAATCATGACTTGCTAAAATCCATAATGAACAAATTTTGGTTTTAATCATTTTGGAAGTTGATTAAAATCTTAAATGTTCTTACTTATGCTTGAAATATTATTACTCTTCATATTGGAAGATTGTAATGTTCTAAAGTGCATGAGTAAGTATTGGATAAATTATTTCATTAGATGATTGATTATTTATTCAACTTATTTTGCCAAATCTCGTTATTAATTTATATTGGTTAAATTAATTATGAGACTAGCCCTCAATTTTTGTTGCATCAAGTTGAGCCAAAAATAATTAAAAGAATGGTTCTTGAATTAATTTTGGATTGTGAACTAAATTTGAATTTAATTAAGTTGTACTTGTTTAAGTTCAAAATTTCTCAATATTAATTCTAAAATCAAATTTAGAATTAATTTTAAAGTAACACAAAAATCGGAATAAAATTCCGAAGCACGAGGACAAAAATTGAAGCTTTGAGCTTCAAGCACCAAGCTTTGCTAGCATGGGCTGCTAGCACAGCCCGACATGTTGCTGCCGAGGCTTGGTGCATGTGTGTGCGTGCAAATGTGGCTGCGAGCTGATGCGAGGGATGGTGCGGCAAGGTTGCCCTCTGCCAAGCAACGCCCAGCCCGCAAAGGCCAGGGCTGCTGGGGAGCACGCATTGCGAGCACTACCAGGCACTGCAGCACGCTGCCAGCGCCAGTACCATGCATGCATGCCAGGCCGCTGGTGCCAGCAGGTGCCTCGTGCGCTGTTAATTGTGCGTGCTAGCACCCGCACATAATTTTTGGCTAAGGTGCCTAGAAACCCTAGTCCTATGGCTTGGATGTTAGGCACTCGGCCTTGGGGGCTTGCTATTTTTTGGTTTTAAGTAAAACAAGGCTAGGCCTCGGTTTTTCACGTACTTGCAAATTTTAGACAAAAATTTTAATTGATCGGCTTAATTAATTTCAATTGGATTAATTTTAATTAAGTTGGATGTGGAATTTAGTGGGAGCTTCATTAATTGTTTTGAGCTTTATTAAGCCTTGTTGTGCTTTTGTTATTGCGTTAGTTCACATAATTGGATAAACAACTTGACTAGTTTTAATTAGGCGTGTTAATCGGATTAACCACCTAAGTTAGTAACTAGTATGTGCTCGATTTGATGCAACGTTTGGTGTTGTTTGAATTATTTATAAAATGCATGGGCCATTCGCTTTAGAAGTAAATGGCTGAATGGAATTTTGTAGATATTCTAATGCAGGTTTTACAAAATGGCAACTAGTATGGTCAGACTGGAATAGTAAATACGGACTGCGTTCCTTTTTGTATTTTTTTAAATCTAAATACGGAGTGCGTGTCATTAAGTAATTTTTACTTAAATTATTTAGATTAGTCCTAGTCACTTGTAATTGCATAATTGGTGGTGAAGTCTCAAGACGGCGTTTCTAAAAGACGAAGCCAAGAAGATGCAATGAAGGCCTTTGAAGATTGGATGCTTCAAGTTTCAAGGGGTCATGCTAGTTTGCCAATGCGTCTTTAATTATCTTTTATATATATTTGCTTATGTATATAATTGCGACATTAAATTCATGTTTAGTATTTTGAATGTTGAATTATTAATGTAGTTCACTTAAATCAACCAACCTAGAAACTCTAAGTCCTAAAGAATATTGAGTTAAAATTTGTCATTCCAAAATATCACTTACCGAAACTTTGAAAGTAGGTAATGGGCTATGCCAAAGCAAGGCATTACCACTCTCCTAGAGAATTAAGGTATACTAACTAGGTATACACGTTAGTTTTGGTTTAATTCAATGATATCGGTACGGAGTCCTTAGATGTCGTGGCAATGGAGATAAACGTCAAGAAAGCATTAGATGCGACATTTTATCGAACCAAGAATTGCTTAGAGTCATTAGCAATTGGATTTCTTACCTTAAAATATTAAGTGTTAAGACAAGCCAAAGCATGCTTAATCACATATCGATTTTTAGGATCTTGGAATCGTTTTACTCTCACTTAATAGGGACAAATTTATAAATGTGTGAATAGAACGTTAATAACTTAATTGAAATTACTAGTTTGCATGTATTTTAATGCTTATTATGTTATCTTGATAAATGGTTATACTTTGCACTTATATTTGTAGAATTCTAAATCAAATTATAATGTTTCTAACGATTGGTAAAAGGAAATCTTTTGAGAATGGTTCTCAAGGAAAGAAGAGGCATTTCTGAAATACAAATTCTCATAAATGATTTTTCTGGCTTACTCCGAAAGGACGGTTGGACATCATGTATTCAAAATACTAGGTAGTTTTGATAAACATGAAGTATTGAGTTGAAAACTCAAATTGTCAATAGTTGACAACCAACATATCTTTTCATTTTATACAATAATCAGTAGGACTTTGTTTTACGGCGCATTAGATATTTGATTATGTCTAACAAAGTGTAAAAGTCAAAGTACTTAAATAAAAGGTTCTTAAAGTTATAAGATGATGTATGATAACAAATATAGGAAAAAAGGAACAAAGAAAAGGAATTTGAGGTTCCAATTCTACCTAAGAGTTCATGTTATCGTAGTTAAACTTATTAACTTAACTTCACAAGTATTAGATACTGCTTTAGAGTTCCACTTTCGATGTGACCTCAAAACAAATGAAGTTAAGCTAAGTTATTGACTTACGAGCTTGGAATGAAGCAAGTAGGTGTCAGCTGTAAGGTCATCTGCTTTGTTTAAAGACCTTTTAAAGCTAAGGCTGAAACAAATAATAGTTGTTTGTTTTATTTGAATGGCATGGTTGTCTAAGCCATGAGTCAAGGATGTTTAATTATAAACAAAAATTTCTCTAACATGAAAACTCACAAGTTACAAGTCATGGACATGCTTTGTGTTCCGTCTATCTTTAGCAATGTCACATCAACAAGAACATACTCAAGGCTCTATTAGATAGACTCTTGAAAGTTGATCGATTCGAAATCGTTCTAAGGCAAGGAAGTCTTACTTGTTGAAACTGACAAAGAAAGGAGCTATTGTGCTTGGTATAGACAATTGACTCCGAAAGCTAAAGAGAATTCCATTACTTTAATGTTTTCACAAGAATTTGAAAGAATATGGCTATATTCGTCAAATGTGAACAAACTTGATCTTGAATAGCTCTAAAGTTCAAGTGAAGTATATAATCGACTTAGTAAGATATCAAAACGTCTAAATTAGATCGAGCGATGTTTGCTTGAGCCAAGAGTGATCATCTCAATGTTATGAAATTGGAATTTCATATCAGCTCCACAAAGGATATAATATATCTTGACGAAGACCTCGCAGCCATTTGGAAATGACTCGAACGATGATGAATCACATCCCTTGCTATAACGTTCTTAGAGTTATGCACAAATGACTAATGTTACACTAAATAAAATTGTCGAAGCTAAGAAAAGACACCATATTCAGTTATGGATAGAAATAGTTTCTAGCGTCTTTTCAAGCATATGTCTAGGGCTCTTAGCCTCAGTGGGAGCTCATTGGCTCAGTGGAAGCTAAGTGGCTCGGTAAGGGCTAAGGTAGCTTAAGTTTATTATTCCAATGACTCATCTAATCCTTCGGATTGATTCGTCGTCTCAGATCGGTTATTCGATTGGGGTGCGACCCGAAGGGTTAAGTCAAGATTAAGCCGTAACATTAATAATACATTAATATTACTGATCGGAAGCGGCCTCCACCTAGGCATTCCGATCACTTGACCTCACTGAAGAATTAGCTTTCTAATAATTCCGAACCCTCTATCGGCCGGAATAATATACTTGTTGGAAGGACATCATTCCTTTCATGCGTGGCTTGCTTGCTGTGCGCATGCGAGTGCGAGCTGGCCTGCTAGCCCAGCCAAGGTGTCAGCCGCCAGCTAGGCGGCCTTGGCAGCCATGGCGAGCTAGCAGCCAGCTTTGCGTGGCCAGCTCATGGGCTTTGGAGGGGACCGGTTTTAAGGGGATTGCTTGGGGAGCAAGGGGGCTTTGGTCCCCCTCCCCTTTGGTGGTCCTTAACTACCCTTGCTCACCATGTGCCACTTGGTGCTTGTTGATTGATTTGCTTTTTAATTTGTTTTTAAATTAAAATAAATTGGGAAAAATGCAATTCTCCCACATTGATGGGGAATGGGAAATCAAGGCTCCCTTCCCTATAAATACCCAAGTTTTGGGTTTGGGAAAAAGCACTTGAGTTGAATTCAATAAGGCATCTCCTTGAAAGTGAGAAAACCTTTAAATTCGTAATACTCTAGTTTTTCTTTGGTCTAGCCCCGACTAAACTTCGGGGTAGAGACCGCTTGGGTCGGGTCGAGGGTGGGAGCCGTCGGAGGCCTACGCACTTACGAGGCTAGAGCTTTCAAGTAAGAGCTCGTAAGCGAGCGAAGCACGCGTCAAGGGTACAATAGTCTTTTCTCTTTCACTCTCCTTTTGTTATTTAATTATGTGATTGCATGTTTAGTTAGCTAAGAGCTTGGCAGAAAGCATTTTTAGGCTGTCAATGGATGCCCCTGATATTATTAACTCCATGCCTTCAGAAGTTGTCATTGGACACATATTTGGGCCTTCGTCAACAAGTTTTACAAACTTCATGTTGGAGCACTGGGAATCATCACCTTTTCTGATTAGGAATCAACCAAAATATCTGGAGGCACCACATGCCATTTTCAGCTCATTTATGCATTCACTTACATCTGAAGAAGCATTGCCTAAAGGTCTATCTTCTATCCTACGAGAAATGGTTTCCTGTCCCCCTGTAGCTTTAAATGAAATAGACTGCTTGAGTTTACTTAATGATGTAAGGGACACACTTGGTTCCCCAATAATATATCAGCAGGACATACGTTTGGTAAAGACTAGCATGCATTCTAAACTTGAGGAGCATTACTTTCAGGAATGTTCAAGCAATGGCATTGAAGGTCCAAGATCTTTCTCCACGGAGGACATCTTAAAGTGTGAGGGAGCATACAGGGAGGGTTATACTACAGCTGTACGTGGTATGGAGTTCCGCAATAGTGATATTGCTGCAGTCACACGAGTAATTGCTTCTATGTTTGGTCAATTATCAGTAGGTGCTAATCTATATGTTACACCACCTGATTCTCAAGGTTTATCCTGCCATTATGATGATCATTGTGTCTTTGTCTGTCAACTTTATGGGGCTAAACAGTGGACAGTCTATCCGAAACCAATTATCGAATTACCTCGTCTATATGAGTGTCTTGAAGTTCCTCAGGAGTTACTGGTGCAAAGCAGACAAATTTTGCTAACAGAAGGTGATGTCCTATATCTTCCAAGGGGTTTTGCTCATGAAGCATGCACAGTTGTAGATCTCGGTGAAAGCAGCAAGTTTAATAAGTCCTCTGTACATCTTACTCTTGCGATTGAGGTTGAGCCTCCTTTTGAGTAAGTCACTGAACCTCCTTGTGACAATGTAGAACTTGATTATTGCTCATTCTACATTATCTCTATAAACAATGTTCAATGGTTTATCTTGTGAGTGTAAAAAATTAGTAAAGAATTCTCTAAAAATCAAAGGCCTATGCGATGATTGCTTTGACCTCAGTTTAAGAAACTGTATTTTGAACAAGTGCTGTGCAATTAATTTACAGTATAATTATTGTGTGGTGAATTATGCTTTTAGATATTGGTGCCAGAGATCTACAACAATCTTGTTCAATTAATGCTGGTTTTTCTATATTAAATTTCAACTATGTTAATCGGACACGGCTAAAATCGCAAAGTGTCCGTGTCGACACGACACAACACGACACCGACATGGGACACGTGTCCGACTCTTCACTGTGCACTCGGATACTTTTATTAAGAGTGGAGAGGAAAATAGAGGAGAAATATGAAAGAAAAACACATCTTCTTCAAAGACCACCATTGATATAGTCCATATAGAGAAGATGGAGAGAAGAAGATTGCCATTTATTAGGAAAATTTACCAAGGAAAGAATTAAAATAAAAAAAAATAGGGGCGGACTTAATGAAAAATTTGAAGCTTTTGTAATATATAAATTATATATATATATTTAAGTGACGTATTGACGTGGTCCCCGTACCCGTGTTCAAATACCGGACAGAGTTCCCGTGTCCTAAAATTTTGGAACTTGCCGGATCGGACACTTGGACATGTGTCAGTGTCCGACACCCGTTCCCGAGTCCATGTAACATAGAATTTCAATATAAGGTATTGAGAGCATGAGTCTAGTGTGATTAAGGGGGCCAATATGAAGGCTTTAAATCTATGTGATGATTTATTCACTGTTTGTTTTGTTCTCTGGGGACTCATTTTGGTGTTGATAATTCGCATATATGGTGATGGTGATGGAAGCAATGCGAGAGCCGTCCAGAGACTTTTCTCTAATATTTAATGAACCAGCCATAGAATGTGCATAATCTTAATCACAAATGCAAAATGAATCAGTGAGGAAGCTTGAGAAAAAAAGGCTGGAATCAAGTTAGAGGGAAAGGGGAATTCAGAAGTCTGTATAAATAGAGGAGTGTAGGAAGTGAAGGATTATGAAAAGAATTGAGAAGTTTATTTTAGCTTAATTTATGTAAGCTTTGAGAGAGCGTCCAGTCTCTCAAATATTTTACATTTATCTTCAAATTCCTGTGATAGTCACCATTTTCATCTCTGTCATTTTTCTTCAAATTCCTGATGCATAACATAATACCAATTGACCTAGGATAACTTCTTCCAAGTAGCTCTGTATTCCCTTGCGCATTGTCTTAAAAGTGATAAAAATCAATCTTAGGTAAATTCTCTTGAGCTAAAAAGATTAGGAAGGAAGTATTAAAGGTTACACAATTTGTTGTATGTCTGGTTTAATTAGGGGTTAATTGAAGAATACAAAATAGGTACCAAGCCACAAATGACAATTACTAAGCCATATTCAACGTGTTGGATTGACTTTGTCAATTTTCTCCATGTTGCAGCAAAAGAAATCAATGCCAAGGGCAATCTGAGATTAAGATTTTTCCAGACTCTTTTTCCTAGCAAGCTAGCACTACACTCTTAAATCAGCTTGAGAAGTGAATTTACACTGTCTACAGTCCAGAAACCATAGCTAATTGAATCATACATTGATACATGTCCTGTACTTTGGGTGATGAGCTTTGTAGTGTTGGGCCAAATGTGCTTGGAATATCTGTCACAGAACTCGTCAATTAGCCTTTCTGTTGAGTACTAAAGCATGTTGCACTTGTCATTGCAATAGAACTGAAATCTATTTATCGACCTTGCCTAGGATCTTCTAGTTCTCTAGTTTCTTTAATAATTATAGCATATTATGGTCTGAGCAGTTGACTACAGTGTTCTATCTTGCTTTAGTAGTAAATAGTGCAGATTTGCAAAGTGCAGCAGCATCACTACCTAGCTTGTTTCCTACTCCATGCTTATAGGGTTTGAGGATGCTAATATGTGCACAATCTCACCCTCACAAGTAGAAATGCAATCTGCGATGACCTATTATAGTACTACCTGTTTAGTGCTGAAGAGAAAATAAAAAGTAGGTTATTTAATGTAAAAAAATAAAAGCTTTGCTTATTTTGTTTGACATTTAACAAAATAAAATAAAATAAAGAATCTTTAACTCTTTTTCCAAAGTTCTAAAAACTTTTAATCTTTTTTTTTTTTTTGATTTTTTTATTTTAATTATATGCATGGAAGTTAAGTACTACAATGATTCTAGTGTGATGGTGATGGGAATCATGAGATAGGGGTCGTTCTTGGTAGAAATATCTTTGTTAGATTTATCCAAAGACATGTGCTAAAAGACTATAGATTTATCCAAAGACATGTGCCAAAAGACTAGAATTTGATAACTTTTAGTAAGACAATGATTAAAAGTGATTACAAAATAGTTTGATTTCAAAAAAGAAAAAAAAGTGAAATGTTTACTTTTTTCAATGTCAGAGGAGCAATTAATACGAAGTGGAAATAATGCTAATGATGCAAAACATTATGTCAAATCAAAGCTATGTGATTGATCAAAATTTGCAAAAAGAGGCCCCCTTCCTAGGATTATTAAATGAGACTTAGAAGATCTCTAAATCGCATCAATTTTTTTTTTTAGCCATAAGTGTATGATAAACATCCCAATTCTTCTACACTGGCCCCATTCCATTTGTAATCCTTTGTTATGATCTTTCTATGCTATGAACTATTTTAGTTTCTTCCCTAATGTATCAAACCAACTGCATTTCTGGTATTAACTTGTAGAGCTATAACCGCCAGTGGATGTTACTTCATTTCATATCTGATTAATTCGTTGTTCATTCCGATTTTTTGTATCTATAGATCTAACTTCATGTCCTCGTTCTGAGATTAATATGACAATATCTTATTGATGCAGTTTAGAGTATAGACACAGTTATTGGTCAATATCTTTATTCTTTACCCTCAAATAATGTTGGCTTTATAACCACATGCATGTTTAGTTTTGAGTCCAATTCTAATCATCTTGTTGCAAAACCCAATGAGGGGCTCCACCATGTTTAGGCAGCAGTGGTCATGCAATTTTTTATTTCTTTGTTTTTGCTATATTACATCCTGGATATCATTCTCAGTGTTCATTCATTGAGCTCATTAGCATTCTTGCCTTCTATTGGGTATGAAATTCTTCTGGTTCAGAGCAAACTTCCAAATATCATTAGCGTTAACAATTTTACTGATTGCCTTTTCGGCTGACTCAATTTTGAAAATCACAGGTGGGAAGGATTTGCCCATATTGCACTTTATCTATGGAGCCAGAAAAAAGGATCTGATACTTTTGCCCATGATGCTTCTGGGATGCTATCCATTTCTGTGAATATTTTGCATGTTGCAATGAGGCTTCTTAGCAGTACTGAGCCAGTGTTTCGAAAAGCTTGCTTGGCTGCTGCTAGTTCCTTGCCTATTGACACTATAGAATGGCATGAAAAGAACCAGAGAGCCACTTTCAAACTAGTAAGTGATAAAATCAATGAACTATGCAGCTTCACAGATTCTCTCGAATATTTGCAAAAAGCTGTTGAAAGAGATGATGATCCTTTTCATTGGCTTAGATGGCTTCAGCATCTCAATGGGAGAGAAGTACATGTACATAATTTTTGTAACTTTACTTCAGATCGAATTTGTAACATTTTATCATTTATTAATCAACACAAGGATGATGCAGAAGCTGCATTTGCCCATGTTAAGTCAAAGTTTTGTAATGAAGATCTCTTTGACGATGCAAAAGAGAGCTTTAAGACTTTGCATGCCTTGTACAAGGATGCCCGACTGCGATATTGATGTGAATCAAGAGGGAAATTCTTTTGAAGAGCCAATCATATTGGTTTTAAGGCCATTAGGGTTCGAGCTTGGAGCAAAGAATCAAGAATGGTTAACATGCGCAGCCATTGAAGAAGAAGTCAAGGACCAGTTGGGTTCCGACGACAACAGCGGTGGCGACGCGCCGATCTGGGTGCCACGCGCCGGCTTCCTAGCTCCGGCCTGAGTCCAGCTACACGGTGGTGGGGCGCGTGTCGAGGATGGAGGCGCGTGAGGTGGTAGTTCGGCGGCAGTACAAAAAGAAAGATTTTCTTTACTTAGTTTTTTCTAGAGTTTTGCTTGCAAGTTTTTACCTTTCACTTGAAAGGGTTTTTCTTGGTTTAAGCAATTAGGATAAGTTTATTTTTCTGTCATTTAGTTGCTATAAACTTCATAAGGTGATTAGGAAAGTTTTTAGTTAGTTAGAGTTTGATTAGGAATAAACTACCTAGCAATCTTATCTTTGATAGGATTGAAATTCTATCTTATGTAGGATTATTAGAATCCTATCTAGGTTAGATCTTCTACTTCTAGGAGGACTAGGAGACCTCTTTTGAGGCTTTTAAAAGCTTATTTTCGTGGCTTTGAAGAACATATCAAAACCAGAAAATTTAATACAAGTTTATTGTTTGTTTTGCTTAATTGCTTACAAATTCTTTTGCTAGTTTTCAATTCAAGGAGTTGGTTGAAGATTAGAACATTAAACACTTAGTGTCTAGGAGTAGGCTAAGAGTTTAATCTCAAAATAATTAGCGTCCAGGAGTGGGTTAATTAATTTGGGGATTCGAATCATAAGTTTCAGGAGTGATCTTGTGAGGAGAAATATCGGTTCGTTTTTATTCAATCTTAAAGAAATCCTTCAAGATTGGATCGTTACTTCAAGATTGTGGATTTTCTAAAATCTTGACTAAACAAGGGGTTAGAATCCACATCAAATTGGTATCAGAGCTTGTGTGATACCACATCAAATTGGTATCAGATTTCAGGGGTTTTTGATCGTTCAACACTTCGTTCATCAAATCGCACTTGTTCTCGGATAACCAGTTTTTCTGTCAACTTCAGAAGGCTCGTTCTCCTTCGTTACAAAGTCTTTTCAGGTGATTCTTTTTTTGATTTTGGGTGAAATTTTGTCTACTTTCTGCCTGTGAAATTTCGGAATTTTTCGAGTTCGTGTGCTATTAAACTGGACTGTTTTCCGCAACTGTGTCAGTTTTGGTCCGATTTAATACTTACTGCTCTTTGTGTGCGATTTTCTTCCAAGTTGTGTTGCGATTTTTGAGGGTTATTCCTGTGTGTTTTGGGGTCTTTTAAGTCTGTTTTTGTCTTATAATTATGGAGGAAGCTTTGAGCAAATCTATGGATGAATTTGCAAAGTTACTTCAAGGTCATAAAAAGAAGAAAAAACATGAAGATGATAACGTAGATTTTGGCTTTGGTAACAAACATATGCTTATGGAGCGACTGAATTTACATGAAGAAATTATTTTTCAAGGTCAACAAGATAGTTTGTTTCATACTCGATGCAAAGTTGTTGATAGAACTTGTAGGGTGATCATTGATAGTGGTTCGTGTACCAATGTAGCGTCTACAGAGATGGTTACTAAACTCCAACTTCCTACAAGAGATCATGAAAAACCATATAAGTTGGGTTGGCTAGATAATTCTATGGGTTTTCATGTAGAACAACAAGCTTTGGTGAATTTCTCCATTGGCAATTACAAGGAAGAATTATGGTGCGATGTGATTCCTATGAGTGCTTGTCACGTTCTTTTAGGAAGACCATGGCAATTTGATCGACATGTTAAACATGATGGTGTGGCCAACACATATTCGGTCAAGGTGGGAAACAAGAGGTTCAAACTTATGCCTTTAACTATTATTCCATGCCGCGTTAAAGTTAAAGAGGTGGAGGAAGATTGTCAAAAGGATAAGGAAGAGGAACATGTAGGTGCTAAAGAGCTCGAAGAAAAGGTGAGTGAAACAATTGATGTTCCAATTGTGTGTGACGTTGTTCAAGATCAGATTATTCATAATGATCTACCAATGGTGGTGTCGGAAAAGGTTTTTGATACTATTGAGGAGCCATTCGTGAATCAAGATAATAATTTAATGGTTTCTTTAGAAGTGGTGGATTCATTAGGCATGCATAAAGAGAAGAAATTGTTAGTCATACATGAGAAAAATATCATGAAGCCTAAAGTGTTCTTATGGTCAACTTCGAAGACCAAGGACCAAATTGAGAATTGGTTGTTTCTAAAATATTGCCTTGCTCGTGGTGATGTTGTTACATTGCTTAAAATTGCTAGCATTGATGTAATAGTTCTTTTGGCTTGTATTCGTCGAATTTGGATGGTTTCATGGAATTGTTCTCCTTACATGGATGAAGTGAATTTGAGGACAAATTCTTTTGAAGAGGGGGAGAATGATGTGAATCAAGAGGGAAATTCTTTTGAAGAGCCAATCATATTGGTTTTAAGGCCATTAGGGTTCGAGCTTGGAGCAAAGAATCAAGAATGGTTAACATGCGCAGCCATTGAAGAAGAAGTCAAGGACCAGTTGGGTTCCGACGACAACAGCGGTGGCGACGCGCCGATCTGGGTGCCACGCGCCGGCTTCCTAGCTCCGGCCTGAGTCCAGCTACACGGTGGTGGGGCGCGTGTCGAGGATGGAGGCGCGTGAGGTGGTAGTTCGGCGGCAGTACAAAAAGAAAGATTTTCTTTACTTAGTTTTTTCTAGAGTTTTGCTTGCAAGTTTTTACCTTTCACTTGAAAGGGTTTTTCTTGGTTTAAGCAATTAAGATAAGTTTATTTTTCTGTCATTTAGTTGCTATAAACTTCATAAGGTGATTAGGAAAGTTTTTAGTTAGTTAGAGTTTGATTAGGAATAAACTACCTAGCAATCTTATCTTTGATAGGATTGAAATTCTATCTTATGTAGGATTATTAGAATCCTATCTAGGTTAGATCTTCTACTTCTAGGAGGACTAGGAGACCTCTTTTGAGGCTTTTAAAAGCTTATTTTCGTGGCTTTGAAGAACATATCAAAACCAGAAAATTTAATACAAGTTTATTGTTTGTTTTGCTTAATTGCTTACAAATTCTTTTGCTAGTTTTCAATTCAAGGAGTTGGTTGAAGATTAGAACATTAAACACTTAGTGTCTAGGAGTAGGCTAAGAGTTTAATCTCAAAATAATTAGCGTCCAGGAGTGGGTTAATTAATTTGGGGATTCGAATCATAAGTTTCAGGAGTGATCTTGTGAGGAGAAATATCGGTTCGTTTTTATTCAATCTTAAAGAAATCCTTCAAGATTGGATCGTTACTTCAAGATTGTGGATTTTCTAAAATCTTGACTAAACAAGGGGTTAGAATCCACATCAGATATATTAATGGAATGCTTTCCTTACATTATTAATTAACCATATTACTTAACAAACCATTTTTATTTTTTTTTCGAATTTTGGTTTCACCATTACCTGTCAGACTGATGTGTATCTCTATTTATGCTTATCTATCTTCTCTACAAGCTCTGATCAACAAAGCTTTATTCTGATTGTGGTAACTTACCCTTTTCAATATAAACTTGGCTATGAGCACTGATATTTTGCAGAAGGATTCATTTTCTTACACTGCTATTGTGCATGCTATATTGCTAAGATTTCAGTCTTGCATAAGCTGTTGAATACAAAAGAAGTGACATGATTGAGGCTTTTGAGGTATGCAGTGATCTCTAATATTTTTACATAAAGAATAGGCTAATATTGTTCGATGTAAAAATAAAATCTTAATAACGGCATTGATTATCTATATCATGTTACATGTATTCAATATAGTTGATGACAAGTTACAACCTGATGACTGTTCTATGGTTTTCCATGTTTAGGATTTGGACCAGGATGGGTTGTCACGCCATGATAATCTATATGATAGACTAATTCATCTTCACCATCATCACTGCCGTTGCCGTTCTTCAGGGGATCTTCTCTTCTGTATGCTTTTTGATGAGGTGAGTGCTTCGTTGCATCCAAAACCTGCATGTTTATTATGATGCCGATACTTTATACTGTCTTGTGAATGATAGTAAGCTATGAACTTCATGATGGTATATAAAATGTCACAATTATTCATAAGCTCACCTTAACTGCTCTTGATTCATGTTGAGTGAGATGTCTGCTCAAAGCTCTCCTTGATGCTAGTCCTTGTAGATCGTTTGTAGGAGACTCTACAGAAAATAGAACCGATGAGGATAGGCTTGTGTATTTGGTGAAGAAACAGAAAGTTGTAATAATAATGATGAAGTATAGAATTATGCGAGAATGTTTCATTCTGATAGATGGGTGGCTATGAGTTTTGAATTAAAAGAATCGGATAGAATACCTTATAAAGAGGTGTCCGTTATTCAACTCTATTTGCCTCCCTCCTCTCTACCCCCCTTTATGTATGTCTACGAGTTTGAGTAGAAATTATTAGATAGCTTAGGACCACCACATTAATCATGGTTTCAACTATATATGAATTGACATACATTAGTTTTCATTGTCTATCATAGACTACAAGATTTGCTTCTGTGTGGTAATCAATTGAATTGACGTGCAATTTGTTATTGATCTATCTAGTGGTTGAGGAGACGGAAAATCAGGTGAGGATTAGGTTGAACTAGAGGTGTTAAAAAGAGCCTCGCCCTTGAGGCCAGCCTAAACTCGGGCTCTGAAAGCCCGACCCTGATTGACCCGAAACCCATGAGGTGAATGAGAGAAAATTACAAGGACGGACCATAGAAAAGTGTCTGAAGGCAGATCATTTTCAAATCTTTGACGGGTCTAGTGGGTGGTGCATGATTAGAAATTTGGAGGTATATTGAGAGTGGGGCTTGATAGTAATAGAGCCATTATTTGGTTAAGTAGACGTGTATGGTGATCAAATATTGGACACTATTTTTCATTACATTAAAAGTCTCACATGTTGGGAGACTATCTGTCTATTCTCAGTCTGTTAAAGACCAGAGATTTGTTGTTTTTGCAATTTGCATGATATAAGCTGGATTGGGGCTATTTGTTGCATCATTGATTTTAGATTTGGTAACTGTGAACTTGATTCTTTACATCATTGATGAATTATTGAATTCTCACCCAGGACTTCACTTCAGGCCATTTCCGTCAGTATCCAGTATTCACTACTGCTTAGTAGTCCGTGCTTGGAAGCTTATGGTTAGTGAATGGGCTGGGTTGACATGAGTGCCGGTAATGCATGACATGAAAATGGTCCAACCTGGCATGATTATACCACTGCAAGACACAAGAGGCACGATGGGCATGCATGGATATCATTTTAAAAATTTGGCACAAGTTGACCCGTTTATTTTTTGACCAATTTATCAAAAATTAAAGATTTATTAAGGGACTCATTGGTACAACACATAATGGCATGACTCGACATAAACGTGAGCTGAGTCATGCAAGAGTTTTGTTTATGAAAGATTAGCATGAGCTTAGCCCAAAATAACTTGTCTTTGCTTATTCAGGCACGACTTGCTTGATCAATAGACACATTGATATGGCACATGTGGGCTTGCATGGCCTGGCATGTGCCTAGCTTTACCTTTGGTCTTGCTATGCAAGGTTTGTACTGTTTCCTCACCCTATAAGAACTGGATCAATTTGGCGGATTAATAAAGGCTTTGATAGAGAAGTTGTGTGGAGGGAATTGGCTCATTGGCAGTGGGTGCTATACTGCTGTGTCAACAAGGCCCTAGGGTGACATTCCTAGTGGGTGATGACCAATGAGCTATTTGATTGTCGCCGGCTCGTATTTGGGTCTATGTTCAATTGTTCATTCAATCTGTTTATGAAAAAGGAGATTATTTGCAGTCACACTCCATATTATGGGGTTGTCTTCCTCAAAAAAAAAAAAAAAAAAAAAAAAAAAGGTACTATGGGCCTATGGGGTAGTCTAGTTTTGGGTACAGTTCAGGTCCAGTCAAATTTGATAATGAGCCGAGCTAGTGTTTGGCAATCTCATATCCAGTTGGCTAAGGCTGGCAGTTGATGGACTATGGACCAACCCATCATGATTTTAACTAGCCAGATCGTTCTTGGAATAGGAGTGAATCATCCTATTGGATTTTTCTTTTTCCCCGCATTGATCTTTCAACATTTGACTTTTTGAGTATGGTTCTCCATTTAGGTAAACAATTGGTTATCTTCTCTCCACTAAAAAAAAATAAAATAAAATAAAAAAATACATTAGTAACAATAATTTCTATTTAGTAATAATAAGTATAGTTTAGCAAAAATAATATTGGTTCAGTAAAAGTAAGTTTTAATCAATAAAAATAATTACTTTAAAGAACCAATCTAATAGAAAATCCGTAAAATAAATTTTAATTAGCCAAAATAATTTAAGTTTGAAATATTAATGTTAGTTCAACAAAAGTAAAGTGAAGAGAAAATAGCTTGAATCTAAAAGATACTACCCCCATCCAAAATTTAGTGCCACAATTTAACTTACATTGATGTCTAAGATTACAATTTTGACCATTGATATTTTTTTATTCATGTTATTATAACTTATAAGAAATTGACCTATAAATATGCATCGTATTTAGGGATGGCATGGATCCAGGACCCGACCCAGAATTAGTTAGACCCGACCCATATTTTAGGGTCTGGGTCTAAAATTTTTGGACCCAGTGGATCTGGGTTTGGGTCTTTTTTAAACTTTTCTGACCAGACTTGACCCAGATCCAACCCATAGACTCGAAGATATATTTTTTTAAAAAAAAATAAAAATAAAAATAAATAAATCATAAGTTATCTAATCTAGAGAATCAAATAAAAGAATAACCACAAAAAATCTAATTTCAAACTACAACTGCCACTCCTCCAAGGGCTTCAAGTCAAATGACTCCTAGTTCTTACTCTTGTCAAGTCCATTGACCTACCCAGAACGAAGGAAGTACTAGTTTAAGTAGTATATTTTTTTTATTATATCTTTTTTTTCTATATATGAAATTTATTTTGATATGCACTATACAACAAGATTGTTCAATATATCTATATTTATAGTAACACAAAAAATTGGATAATTATAACAAATAAAAAAATATAAGTGATTAAAATTTTTTTAAAAAATCATAATTATTAGACCCATTTTGGACCCGTTTTAGATCCAAGAGCCGCTAGACCCAGTGGATATAGGTTTGATTTATATGGACCCACTGGGTATGGGTCGCATCTGGGTCCGCCTCCAAAAATCTGGGTCTGGGCTTGACCCTGATCCGACCCATTGCCATCCCTAATCCTAACAAATATAGCAATATAAGATATTTTTCTTAAAGTAGTATTGCACCAACGTATGACCATTATTTTCAAAGTTACTTAGGGGGTATTTTATTCACCTGATTTTTACCTATTTAAATTTATCTGAACTTACCTGAACTTATCTAAACTTATTTTAGTTGTAATTTATACTTGGCTAACCCTTATTAGATTTTATTTTTCCCGATGTGTACTTACTTGAATTTAACTGAACTTATCTGAATTTATTACACCTGAAATAAGTGAAAATAAGGTAAACTGAACAAACCCTTAATTTGTTAAAAAAAAAAAAAGAAGTTACTCTCTCATTCTCTTTTTGTTTGCTCCATGACCCACTTGAGAGATTTATGAGTCATATGAGGCAAAAAATAAGGGAAAGAGGGAATACTTAATTTGACTATTTGAGATAAAGGGGGTGAAGAGACTAAAAATATTATACTTCTTCCGTTCTTTTAGTTGCATCACTTTCCTAAAAAGGAATTTTTAAATTAGTTGCATCACTTTCCTTTTTAACTAAAAAATTCTCTCTATCTCTCTCCTACTACATAGACCGCATTTATTTTTTCTCTCAACCTCTCTCTACTCCAAAAATTGTCAAGGAGTCCATGAAAACAAAGGTAATACAACTAAAAAAAATAGAGAAAGTAGGTTACAAAAATATATATACAATACACAAATTGAATAGTATGTATTAATAAATAAAGACTTTCAAAAGTTCAACTTGCTAGTTTAATTGTTCAAACAACACGATACATCAACCGAGCCACACATGAGTGACCCGTTTATTCGGAATCATTAAGGAAAAGACGAAAGTCATGATCCACATCCATTAAGAGGTTGGGTATAGAACCCTGACCCTTTTAAGAAGTAGCAACTGAAAAAAGAAAAAAAAAAAAAAAAACAAACTGAAGTTGAAATGAAGAGCAACATTGAAATCAGTGGAGGTTCATTGCTAAGCAGATTTCAATGGACCGTATCTGTGCTCCATCACGCAAATAAATTCAGGGGAAGTGAGACCACCAATACTAACAGTTGATACCAAGTGAGCGTCAGTCTCATCTTTGGTGATTTTGCCTGCCTTTTCTAGCTTTTCCTCTTTAATGTAATCCCAGTATTGAGGAAAGTGATTTTCCTCCCGGACCTCAGTATAAGCCTGCATTTTAAATGGTCATTAACTCATTATACTCCTCAATTGCCAATGAAGGAGATACTCCGTATGTAATAAGGTTTGAATTTGGAATTAACATGACTGTATTTAATTTTATATAGATTATCAATGTTGATTAAAAGTCTGCGTGAATATGAATATTGCTAAAGCCAAATTAGGATATTCTTAAAAAAATCGGAGAGAGTACGTTGTTGATAATGACTACAACGATAGGGTGCATAGAAGTCAAAGAGCAACACACTCACTTTTAATTTTTTTGACCAGTTACTTAAAATTTTATATTTACAAGGTCATTTTTTTTTTTTGACAACCAATACAGGTCAATTTTAATTGATTCTAATAAAAAAAACAAAAGGTTTGGTTTTGATTAGATAATGATTCTAGGTATTATTGTTGTCTGTTAACCAATTATTTTAGATTATTAGACACATACACAGGAGTAATTTGTAAACCAAAAAAAAAAAAAAAAAAAACCTAAACTTACATCAATATATATTCATGATAAAGTGAGTCTACTACATCCTAAATAAATAATTAAATACCTAACTTTATTTACATAAATTTTCATTATCACCCACTTTAAAAGCATCAATTGGTAAAGAACAATACTTGTATTTTGTAACAAAATTCCTTACCAATATTTTATACCGTAGATTTATAACCACATACATATAACACATCAAAGGAGATAGACTGCAATACTGCAAATGAAAGAAGCTTAAGGAAAGGGATAATTAAGAAATTTAGAAATGGAGACACTTACCGAGTTTTGGTCGACACTCCATGGTGTCATCCAAGCAACCAAGAAATCCCGAGTTTCTCCGTTGATATTCTTGCCACGGTACACCCGAGCAGCTTCGCTACCAGAAGGTTTTGGGCCTGGGTGAACATGGAGGAACGCGATCCACTGTCCATTTTCAAAGGAACGTGGTGGTTCCTCTTTATAAATTTGACCATTCCAATCTTTTTTTTGGTCCTCTACAAGCTTAAGAGTGTCACCTGTAGCATTATAAAGTAGACAAAGTGTAGAAACTCCATCACCGTAATCATACTTAAGCTTTAAAGCATGGTTCAAAGCATCTGTATTCTTTTTTCCTGCTTGTATATACCTTATTGCTTCTCTTGCTCTATCTTCTTGTGTTATTGTTTTACCTTTATACCTACGCAATTCCTTTAAGGTGTCATTTGTGATTGGTGCCCCATAAGCGCTCATTTTTCTTTCTTTCCTTTTGTTTTTTTTTTTATGCTCTCTTTACTTAGCCAATTATTAGTATCTACTTTGTTTCCTCAAATAGATGTATGCATGTAACATATTTATACTGGAAAACAAACAAGGGCTAAGGACTAAAGGGTCATTTTTGGATTGTTGGTTGTACATTTTTTTTTTCTTTCTATTTTTCCGTTTAGAATTCATATGTAACGGATTGAACCCATTGTACTAGATTTTTTTTAATACGCGTGTCCATATCCCCTCAATTGGAGAATGTGGTAAATCAGAGCGATATAAAATAGGGTATAAAAACTGTTTGATAAGAAACAACGATCGTAGTTTTGTTAAAAGACCGTTTTTATTTGATTCAGTTGCTATATATATGTTTGATCATGAATAATTTTATTTCTCTTAAAAATAAAATTGTGAATTTTTATTAATCAACAACACGTTTTGTGCGGCTGGCCACACCGTAATGTCGCTTGTTTTATTAATCCACACTGACTGATTAACCCTTATAACATTAACGAAATAGCCCCTATAATGACTAACCACACTGTATATTAACCAATTATTAAAAAAAAAAACAAAAAAAAAAAAAAAAAAAAAAAACACTTATCTACGAAAAAATGCGCGTCATGAAAGAAGGCACATACAGTGGGACGGAATAAATTTAATCTACTTTGAATGTTACTCCCTACCCTTTATTTTAAGTTTTTAATCATATATTCAAACGTAAAAACTTACATCAAGATTTAGATAAGAAAAAATTTAAGAAAATTAAAATGGAAATGTAGAAATAATTTAGATCAGCATCAAAATGACTAACAACGTAAGTAAATTGTAAATAAATGCTTTTTTTTTTTTCTTTCTTTCTAGAGAACCTGTGGACTATGACACTATGTTGCTTTAGAGGTATTCAATCATTGGTCTGTATGTATATTACTCTTGTCTCTATATTTTTCTTTCTTTGATCATTTTATTTTTGAGTATTAATTCGTATAACTATTTACAATTTGAGATAATTTTCAATACATTACTTTCAAAATATTAGAAAAATATAATTTGGTTTTATTTGATTCATTTTAAGAAATTCAAATCTAATATCATATCATATCACATCACTAATATATGAAGCCGGTCTCGCAGCCAAACCACGAGACAGTGACACTTGACATTCCAGTTTTTCACCAAGCGCCACGTAGACGACAAATAGGTATTATTGTGATACATATGATGCTAAGTAAATGAATTTTGGATAGTTTTTTTAAAGATAAGATTGTTGTATACAGTTTTATTATCACTATACTTCTAATACTTCATATATACAAAATTAATCATAACTTTTAATAAATATCGTATAACTCGGTTTAATTTCCATCATAAAATTCGTTTCAAAAAGTTCTTTAAAATAAGATCGATTTATAATATATTTAATTCAGTTCAAAAAAGTAATAGAGAATTAATATAAAAAAAATAATAATTTTAGTTCAATAAAAATAATTTCAAGTCAATAATAACATAGATACTCACAAAGTACACTATTATTTAATTAAATAAGCGATATGACATCGTATGTCTAAATACCTATAATATCAAAAGGGATTGTAAGACCATATTTAACATTCAAGTAAAAATGTTTATACTGAAATTTTATCAACAATCTGGGCATCACCGGATATAAAACTAGATACCTATCAGTAAAAATAATTTTAATTTGGTAAAAATACTTTTACTTCAGTAAAAATAATATAAATTTAATAAAAATAATTTCAAGTCAACAATAACATAGATATCTATTTACAAACAAAACTACAAAAAGTACACTATTATATAAATAAACAATATGATATTGTATGTCTAAATATCATGCATTATCAAAAGAAATTATAGGACCGTATTTAACATTTAAGCCAAAAAGTATTCTAAAATTTTATCAACAATATGGGCATCGCCCAGGCACAAAACTACTCACTAATAAATAAAGCCGATCTCGCAGCCAGGCTACGAGACAGCGACACTAGACATTCCAGTTTTTCGCCAAATGTCGTGCCACATAGGCGACAAATAGGATGCTAAATAATCGTATTTTGGATAGATTTTTGAAGATAAAAATGTTGTATAAAGTTTTATTATCGGTACACTACTACCATTTCATATATTCAAAATTAATCCTAACTTTTAATAAAAGTCTAATAACTCGGTTCCATTTCCATCATAAAAATCGTTTTAAAAGGTTATTTAAGATAAGATCCATTCATAATATAATTAAAATAATAGAGAATTAGTAAAAACAAGTTTTAATTGGTAAAAATACTTTCAGTTTAGTAAATATAATTTAAGTATGATATCGCATGTCTAAATATCCTGCATTATCAAAAGTGATTATATGACCGTATTTGACATTCAAGCCGAAAGGTTTATCCTAAAAATCAATAAAAAAACCCGGTCATCGCCCGAGGCAAAAAACTAGTAACTAATATATAAAGCTTAACTTTTAGTCAGGCTACGAGACAGCGACACTTGACAGTTTAACTTTTCGCCAAGTTTCGTGGCACGTAGACAAAAATTAGATATTAGTATGATATGTAGGATTTAATTGGATATATTTTTTATAAGTAAAAAAGTTGTATTTATTTATTAGGATAAAAACTTGAACAAATTTTGTAGGATAAAAAAGGTTAGTTTAGAGTTTTGTTTTCAATGAAATTTGGATAGATTATAGGATAAAATTATTGGTTTAGAGTTTTATTTCAGATAAAATATCGAGAACAGGTCAACCCAACGGGCTTCGAACAAGTTTTTTGTTTAATTTATTTTTGGCTAATTTTTAATATTTCAAGCTTACTTTGCTCTATATGTATATATATAGATTATACATAATTTAAATCGTCACAAAATCACATCAATTACTAACTAATTTTGTAAAATGATATATTTTAAAACTTAATACATAGATAAAAAGTTTATCTTAAAATTCAATAAGAGCATCGCACGGGCACCAAACTAGTATATATATAAAGGGGAGTTTTTTCCCGAGTTTTTAGAGAGCCACGTAGGATAAAATTTTCTTAACGCGCCATATAGGATTTTAAGTTTTAATGATAGCCAATCAAATAAGAGATTTGTAATTTCTTTTAGAATTATATAATTCACATGCCACATAAGCAAAATTGGCGAATGAGATTTAAAGTTTAAATTAATTAAATATAACATATTATCTTTTGAAATTAGGAATTTTATCTCAATATATAACGAATGAGAAGAAATTCACAATTTATTTTAAATTAAATATATTAAATGGTATACAATGTATAATGAATAAAACAACAAAACTTATCACATAAATACAAAAAATATTTATTTTAAAAAATACAAACAAACTGTGCATCGCATGAGGTTCATCTAGTATTCTGTACTTTGTAGTTTTTATTTACAAATACAAGTAACAATTATATTAAAATTGGCTTTTGATTTCCCGAAAGATAGGATGCTTTTCCTTTTTTTTTTTCCCTTTTAATTTCTCAATTAATTTATTTATATTTTTACAAAATTAAGATAGAAGATTTAATATTGATGCTAGCTTACCAATTCACCATACAATAATCGTATCAAGTTACACTTTAATACCAATTTTTTTGTTGTTGACAAGCCAAAAGGGAAGATAGAAGAAGTGATGGAAGCTGAGAAAGACTCTTCAAGTCATAATACTAATTAATACCACTAATAAGGCGGACATAAATAATACAACTTGCGTATGAAGATGATTAAGGGTATGACGCGTTAATAATGCGTTAGACAGGCAATAAACATTCACATAATCACATTTGTATCGGATTAATATATTTAAGTCAGAATTGACTAATACAAGTAGATTTAAAGAAGTGATATATGTTTTAACACATTAAGTAGACTAAATAGATAATTGACCATTTTTTTTTAGTAATTTTAAAACACATGGAGTAGACTATGTATATTATTGACTTGGATTAATAAACATGGATAATAGCAAACATCAATTATTATCTAACTAACTTATATTATATATACAATGAAAATGTTTATTAATTTATGTCTAGGGTGCCCACAATTAAGGGTAGTACTAAGTTAGATAATAACCAATATATATATATTTTTTCTCTATCCCTTTCTTTATTTATTTCTTTTTATTTTGGAGTATTACTTTAATTCGTATAACTATTCGCAATTTGAGATAATTTTCTACGGTTATAAGAAAAATATAGTCATATATTTTTTTAGAAATTAATTTAATTTATATTTTATAATTTAAGAAGATATAATTAAAGATTTTAATGATTGAAAAAATGTAATGACAACATGCATAGTCAAAATGAGAATACAAAAAAGAAACGAAGGAAGTTATGTATGTTGGCTATTGGTTTTCCGATAGGTTGGATTCGATCTTTTCCTTTGTTTAATTTCATTTTCCAAATTAATCTAATTATATTGTTACAAAATTAAGATGCAAGATTTAAAATTGATGCTACCTGACCTAGATTTATACACTGATCGTGCCAAGTTACACTTAAATATCAGTTTTTTGGTTGACAAGCTAGAAGGGAAGATAGAAGAAGTGAAGGAAGCAGGGAAAATCATACTAATAAATTAAACTAATAAAGTGGACTTAAATAATTAAACTTGCGTAGGATGGTGATTAAGGGTATGATGCGTTAGGAATTTTAGGATAACGTGCTGACAGGCATTAAACATTCACATTATCAGATCACATCTGAATCGGAATACTATACTTAAGTCAGAATTGACTAATACTCTAATACAACAAGTAAATTTAAACAAGTATTTTCTTAACGAATTAATTGAGTGGAGATAATTGGCTTGGATTATTAAACATGGATCATGAGAAACATCCATTATTCTTACACTTGTCAATTTCTAACCTAAACCGGTGAACTCTATTGTACCGAACTGATATGAAAAAGCATTAAACCGTTAAAACCCCATTCTTGAAAAGCGAAAATTGACCTGACCCAATTTTTTCTAACCCGGAATCGAACTGAACTGTGTTAGGGTTGCAAGCCCAACAAGAGGATAAAGGTTCGTTGGTACATGTG